TGTGTTATGGTGATGATTGACACCAACAATAGGCATAATTGGTCGACCATACAAATTATCTTTATACGTTGTGTCGAACGCAATTACATCACCGAAGCATGTGTAATCCGATCTCGATGTAGAATCCGACCAAATAAGATTATACAATGCCCCCGATTCGTCTACCGAGTATGTCATAAAAAACCCGGGATCATCATGTTTCTTATAATCAAAGTAGGCAATAAGCGCATTCACATCCCCATCGACGATTTCCTTTGCTTTACCTCTTTGAAGTGCATTGTAGAGGTCTTTATGTGTAAATCCAACATTATGATAGCCCCCTGCCTACTGCGTTAAATAGTTCATTACTTGTGACGTGCCAACACTAACCTCTTTCAATGTTGTTGCCTCATCGATATCAGTCTTACTTACAGCTCTATTAGGACACATAAATGGTGTCATAGCAGGTGTGCACAATGCATGATTATGTTTCTGATCAGACTTACTTATAACCCACTGATCGTTTGTATTTGTTGTTGTAACTACGACTCTAGCCTTACATCCTGTTCTTGTGACTGGCGTATGAGCACGTTGGCGATCAACAGTATTGACTTTTGATACTTGAAACCCTTCTTTGGAACAACAAATTTCTTGTGTCTTCACATTCCCTTCCACGTCAAGCCGTGTTGTTCCCTTACGTGCACTAAACCCATGTTCCCGTGCGAATCCCTTGTAAAAGTACCAAGCTTGATCACGTGAACAGAAGAGCTGACCAACCAATCTGTCAGATTCATCAACATTATGTACTTCATGGCATTCCTCGGTTGGCTTAACATTGTCTACATCAGTATTATCCATGGAAAAAATTTTGTTGTGCAAGTTCAGTGGTCCAGGAGTTGATGGAGATGTAAGCAAATGTTCATTTTGAACATGTTTCAGTCGTGCTGCTTTCAATAGGATGTGGTATTGGTAGTGGTAGTTAAAGGGTGGGTACAACATTAAATTTGCAGTACATATTTAGGTATGTACAATAACTACAAGTATCGACCCAAAAAACATCAAAACCAATAATTATAATGTAATAGGTAAATTAACAATGTAACAAGTATCGACCCAAACGAGGTGCACGCATAATATTGTTAAATTTAAATTCTAAATAATATTTTATAAAATATCAAAACAATCAAATAATTTTTTGTGTAAATGAAATTATTAAATTAATATTGTAGGTGGAAAACATGAAACACTATTAAAAAATAAATGAAATATAAATTACATAACTTTAAAAAAAGTATCGATCCTTTTTATAAAAAGTATGGACACTTTCAATATAATAGGTAAAAATATGATGTAATAGGTAGCGCTTATATAATGTAATAGGCAGCGTTTATATAATGTAATAGGTAGTGCTTATATTGTAAAGTATCTATCCTTTTTATAAAAGTGTCCATACTTTTTTCACTGTGGAAAACATTAATTTAAGGTTAGTTTTAAAATATTAATTTAGTAATTATAGGCGTCTAATGATTTATTTTTTACGTTACGGTATATATTATTATTAAATTAAAAACAATAAACATATATATTACATATTTATTATTATCTTTGGTTAATATTGTTAAATTTAAATTCTAAATAATATTTTATAAAATATCAAAACAATCAAATAATTTTTTGTGTAAATGAAATTATTAAATTAATATTGTAGGTGGAAAACATGAAACACTATTAAAAAATATTGAAACATAAATTACATAACTTTAAAAAAAGTATCGATCATTTTTATAAAAAATATGGACACTTTCAATATAATAGGTAAAAATATGATGTAATAGGTAGCGCTTATATAATGTAATAGGTAGCGTTTATATAATGTAATAGGTAGTGCTTATATTGTAAAGTATCTATCATTTTTATAAAAGTGTCCATACTTTTTTCACTGTGGAAAACATTAATTTAAGGTTAGTTTTAAAATATTAATTTAGTAATTATAGGCGGCTAATGATTTATTTTTTACGTTACGGTATATATTATTATTAAATTAAAAAAAATAAACATATATATTACATATTTATTATTATCTTTGGTTAATATTATTAAATTTAAATTCTAAATAATATTTTATAAAATATTAAAACAATCAAATAATTTTTTGTGTAAATGAAATTATTAAATTAATATTGTAGGTGGAAAACATGAAACACTATTAAAAAAAATTGAAACATAAATTACATAACTTTAAAAAAAATATCGATCTTTTTTATAAAAAGTATGGACACTTTCAATATAATAGGTAAAAATCTGATGTAATAGGTAGCGCTTATATAATGTAATAGGTAGCGTTTATATAATGTAATAGGTAGTGCTTATATTGTAAAGTATCTATCATTTTTATAAAAGTGTTCATACTTTTTTCACTGTGGAAAACATTAATTTAAGGTTATCTTTTGAGTGAGTTTTAAGATATCAATATAGTAATTATATGTATCTAATGATTTATTTTTTATGTTACGGTATATATTATCATTAAATTAAAAACAATAAACATATATATTACATATTTATTATTATCTTTGGTTAATATTGTTAAATTTAAATTCTAAATATTATTTTATAAAATATCAAAACAATCAAATAATGTTTTTAGCAAATGAAATTATTAAATTAATATTGTAGGTGGAAAACATGAAACACTATTAAATAATTAAAACATAAATTACATAACTTTAAAAAAAGTATCGATCATTTTTATAAAAAGTATGGACACTTTCAACATATTATAATGTAATAGGTAAATTTGCAATATTATCGGTATAAATATACCGGTTTACTTATAAAATAGGTCAATATAAGCGCTACCTATTATATTATATAAGCGCTACCTAATATGTTATTGTACTTTATAATATTTCCGGTTAAATAATATAATATAACCGGTCACTTATTTAACCGATCACATCATATATTAACCGTTTTTTAAGCGTCGCACCGCAGAACTATCAATGTATTCATTCTCTTAAAATTTTATAACTTCTTTCCCTCTGACAAAAAGATTCGGCCTCTCTCCCAAGTAGTACACCTCTTGAATTTCACATTGATTATGTAGCGGAGTTGGTATTAAGATACACCAAGTGTTTAGGGCACTAATTCTGCTTTTTATAGACAATCTAGTTTTACTATAAATCATCCCACAGTTGAAATGACTAAATTCTGGAATTTAGTTTTTTTTTTAAATTCGAAGGATTTAGTTTTTTTATATAAATAAAATATGAAGAATTTGATTTGTATACTTAATTTAATAATTAGAATTTAATTATAATATTATTAATTTATAAATATTAAATTATTATTATAGAGTTACGGAACTTATAATAAGAAAAAAATATAAAACATAGTATAAGAGAGGGAACAACTTTTCTATTACTTGTCGTGTACTTGTACAGGGTCGGTCCAATGAATTTTAATGTCCTGAGCGAAATAATAATTTTATGCCCCTATACTTGTACCGTATAATAGATAAAATATAAATAATTTTTTTAAAACAAAAATATAATAGAAATTACAGTTAAACAATATCAATACTAATACAAACTAAAACCTACAAAGTTACAAATTTCACCTAAAATGAAGCATTCGTGCATTTTTTTGAAGAAAAACCTCTATCTTAAGGGCAATTTGGTAAAACATAAATTTTTTTTTATCTTATATTCATTCATCTAAACACTAATATTATATTTATATCAAACAAACCAAATACGATAATACAATATTTCTAGTAATATATTATATAATGTAATATTCCAATATTTTTTTTCTTAACAATGAACTTATATTTAGTGAACCAAAAGTCCGCGGACAAAACTGAAATCTTAACCTATAAAGACAAAAGCAAATTAAAGCTTCAGAGACAGTGGACGTTTAAGTCTCAATCGGTGGTCTTTACGGTGCAAATCCCAGTCAAACCAATCTCTAAAACAAGTCAAAGCACCAATGGGATTTGCACTAAGCAAACCAATGAAGTGTGCATTAATTAATTATTTATGTAATTTTTCTATTGACCAGCTGATGGCTCAAAAACAAAAGATTTTGTGATAGTAAAAAATAGAAATTGCTTTTCAATAATAATAAATGAATAATTTCCACACAGCTTCTTTAATCTCATCAATAATAAAAGGTTTCGCTATCGTTTGCTTCGCTACTTGATAACTTTGAAACTCTAAATGAAACGTAGCATGCCATAATTCCCTACTAGAAAACTGATGCCCTCAAACATGCTGCCTTGCGCTAAGGCTTATCTGACACATGTATTGGGTCGGATCTGTACATAACTATAATTTTTTTGATTTTAACCAACATATGAGTGTACTTGTACATAACTATATTTTATAAGATTTTAATCAGCATATCCTGAGGAAAGAATTAGTGTTAAATATAACTTTCATGATTTTACTTAACATGTTAGTTTTGTAAACGAATTTTATGATAAAACTCAATTTTTAGTTTATAAAGATCTGTAGCATTTAGAGCTAATATTTTTCGCTTTTAAACATTTTGACAAGCTCTTATACAATGAGAATCATATTAGAGAAGTTTCTGAGTGTTTTCGGGCTTAAATTTGTCAAATCTGAACAATATATTGTAATGGTACTGATACTCTACCTTGAGAACAATATCAATATTATTCTTCATAATATCGATATCTCTTTAAAAAAACCTTTTGAAAATATGAACAAGACACTAATACCTCACAAAAGTATCAAAACTCCTTTTGTATTTTTTTTGGATAATTCAATTTCATTACCCAAGAAGCAGAAAATCCTGCTACAGTATACAAAGACGATAAACAACACAATAGCAGAGCAAGGAAAAACCACAAAAAAAAACCAGCCAACTAGAATAGAACAATAAGATAGGATATATTCAGGCAATGCCCCAGTTAGCACACAGAGCATTATTGGAAAAGTCTGACCGGTTGAAAGCTTTGCCCACCAGCTGGATATGGATGCCCTCTTTGATATCACCTAGCTCTTCTTCCTTCGACCTTGCTCTATTCCCAAACAATCTGCATTCATTTCCTTCCATATACCATAAATGTGCCTAGACCAAGCAAGCTTAAGGATTCCCACAATGAAGGACTTACCCTTAAATAGTAAGGAAGCCCAAGCCAATTCACCCTCCCAGCTACAAGGTTCACGAGAGATACAAAATAGTTCAAGAATGGATCCCCAAAGCTCCTTAGCAAATTGCCACTCAAAGAATATATGGTCCTTTGTCTCGGCCTCCTCACAACACAACAAACATTTATCCGTTTCTATGGCTAAGCCCGTACGCAGGAGCCTTACCCGAGTAGGTAGCCTGTTTAGTATAGCCATCCAGACAATAATACTATGCTTGGGAATACGTCCCGAGAACCAGACCAAGTGGTGCCAAGGAACCTTGGGTGCTGGGGAGCGTAGTTTGTCCCAGATATATCTCGTGCTAACCTCTTGGACTTGACCCACAAAGATGGGAGCAACTTCAGGCCTAATTTTCAGCAAGTATTTGAAGCTCCAGCTAGCATTCTTAGGGACTTCCATATGCTAGAAGTCAGTGTTTCTTATAACGTAAGAGTTCATCCACACCACCCAAAGAGAGCCATCATTAGTCAGAAGCTTTCTGATTAACTAAACATAACAAGATTTGTTCCAACCTCCTACATCATGAATCCCCAATCCACCTTCAGATTTCAGCAAACAAATAGTCTTCCAACTCACTCGTGCACATTTGGCAGGGGTCCTTTCCATAAGAAATGAGAGCACAACTGATCAACCTTCCTGATAATTGCTTGAGGGAGTATAAGATGCCTGCTCCAGTAGCTTGAAATGCCGAGCAAGACAGAACGAACAAGCTGCAAATGACCAGCAAAGCTGATATGCTTGTTGGCCCACGATCTAAGTTTTTCTCTAATTTTATCAATAAGACCTTGGCAATCTTTCACAACCAATTTCATGGTAACTAGCGGGACTCCCAAATATCTCATTGGGAGGCTACCCAACTTGAAACCAGTTCTCTCCTTGATGATACTGATCTGCTCATCAGGTATGCCCGTAGCATACATCTCACACTTGCTGGCATTTAGCTTCAGCCCTGACATAGAATAGAAGCGGTCCAGCACAACCTGCATTCCCATGACATAATTTGTGGTACCCTTGAAAAAAATGAGGAGGTTGTCCGCAAAACAGAGGTGGGTGAGCCCAATCCTCTTGCACGTAGGATGATAGCTAAAGATACCCTTTGTAGCTGCCATATTTAGGAGATTAGACAAGCCATTCATTGCTTGGACAAAGATGTAGGGTGATAGGGGATCACCCTGTCTCACTCCTCTAGCTCCTTTAAAATATCCAACAAGACTACCATTGAAAACAATGGAGTATCTAGGATTTGCAAAACAGGCCCATGTCCAACCTATGAACTTCTCAGGCAGCCCCATGGCATGCAAGATCACATCAATGAAACCCCAACTTAAGGAATCAAAAGCCTTTCGCAGGTCTATCTTAGGGGCACATCTAGGGGATATCTTACTTCTAGAGTAACCCCTAATAATTTCCTGTACAAGAAGCGTATTGTCTACTATGCTTCTCCCTTTCACAAATGCAGTTTGATTGAAAGAGACCATATCAGGGAAGATCGAAGAGAGCCGGTTCACTAAAATTTTTGTAACTGTTTTGTAGACGACCGTGCAATAGGATATGGGCCTAAAGTTCTTTACTAAGATAAGATTAGGGATTTTAAGGACAAGTACCACAACAGTTGCATTAAATGAATGGAGCATGAAAGAGTGATCGAAACAGTACCTAACTTCTACCAGGAAATCCTCTCCAACAATAAACCAAGTCCTTTTGAAGAAGAAGGCATTATATCCATCTGGGCCAGGGGACTTGTTGTTCCCTTGTCCCCATAAGGCCTCTTTAATTTCAGCCTTAGAAATAGCCCTGCATAAACTATCTGTTGCTTCACTTGACAAGGAAAAGCCAAGAAGATCCTTGATAATGCTAGCAGAACTGGCTTTAACTTCAGGGTCAGCCACTCCAAGTTGATTGACAAAGAAACTAATCACTTAATTTGACATGTCATCAAAAGTTGTCAAGCCTGGAACCACTTTGATTGTAAAGGACTCTAACTATACTTCTTTTCCTTTTAGTAGCAACCATGGAGTGGAAAAATTGAGTACCTTTATCCCCCTCCCTAATCCAATCGAATTTTACTTTTTGCTTGTAAAACAGCAACTCAGCCTGTTCAAGGGCCCTTAATTCCTTCTCAATTTCTAGCTCAGTATTGATACTTCTTCCAGTAGTAGCAGAATCAAGGTTAGAAAGTTGGAGGATCTTCAATTTTTCCTTTTTCTCCCTTACTTGTCCATATATGTCATTGTAATTATTCCTGTTAAGCTCCTTAAGATGCATTTTCAGCCTCTTGAGCTTTAGGTAGAGAGTCTGAGTAGGATTAGCATTGATCGGGGCTTGCCAAGAATCCTTGACTAAGGACATGAAATCAGGATGCATAGCCCAAAAATTAAAAAACTTGAACGGTTTGGGCTTGGCAGCAGAAACCTCTTTGTGCAGCCATACAAGTGTTGGGCAGTGGTTAGAATCTCTAGGTGCCTGAAACTCAACATCAGAGGTAGGACAAAATCCTTTTGTATTAAAAATACATTGAGTACTAAAATAGTATTGATGCTTATGAAAAATATCAATATTGTCTAATTGAGTACCAATACTCCCTAAAAAATCTCAATACTCATGGTAATCTAATAACTATATTTTTATATTTAATTCAGACAATGTCTATATCTCTTGAGTAATGATTACAACAAGGCCTGAGTAGCATCTAATGAAAACAAGTTGCTCTGCAATGAATCTATTAACACTTAGGCCAACTGTAATGATTATAAATTAATAATGGACTATCTAAACAAGGTTTTATGGCATATTTGGAGATAAAAGATCAAACAGAAAGTTTGGACAATCAATTCTTAGGCTAAAAAGTCATTTCTAAATCATGTATTCACTTTCATAGAACACTAGCTTGTTCATTCTTTGTATTTTTCTTCAACTAGTGTTCTTGAATGCATTTTACCATGAATTGTGCAAATATTTTTTTGTGATGTATTTTTATAGTTTTCGATCTGTATTTTTTTCCTTTTATATATTTTGAGGTATCAATCTCAAGAAAGTTATAAGGTTACACCTTATCATCAAAGGTATAAAAAATTCGTGAATTTGAGAATAGTGGATGTAAACTTCATTGAGGAAGTTGAACCACTCTAAATTGCTCATGTCTATTTGTTCCTATTTTTCTTATAAAGCTTTCACTAAAATTTTTATTTGTCAATTTTTGTTTCGGGTTCCAAGCCTTTAGGCGATATGCATTGAATTTGAAGTGCTACTTGTTTGTCCTAAATGTTATGTTTTTTTGGTTGAATGAGCATGTTAAGTTTATTAAGTGATTATGCATGCTTTGGATTCACATTGTACCATTTGTTTTTAACATGCGTTTGAAAGATTCTAATTGTTCCTAAGTAATCCCATTAAGCTTTAAGAATGAAGTAGAGCTTGAAATAGAGTGTCTAGAGGGGTTAGGGAGTGATTTTCTAGCGAAAGGGACCATTTCTAGGATTTGGTATCATTAATCAAAGAACATTACCAATACTCTCTTCTTCAAAAGTCAAATTTTGACTTCCATTTTGAATGTGAGACCAAGGTATGGTCGATAAAAAATGAGTGAGCATATAAAAGGACTAATTGTACTATTGCAAATAAAGGTACCCATAAGTATGTGAAATTATGAAGATACCCCCAAGTGCCCAAATTTAAAAGTGAGTAAAGAATCGATAATGTGCAAGCCACCCTCTAGCCTAAAGTGATATTGTGTAAAAGTATAATGATAATTATATTAATTCATAAGCTATTAATGAATAATATTCCTTGCTTAATCGTTTTGGTTGTGAGAATGAGCCACAAATTGAAGTGAGAGGAAACATACTTAGTCAATATTTTTGAATTAATAATTGTGTTGTGAACCTACAATGAATGATTTATATGGTAAATATGTTTGTGAGGCTTAAGAGCCTTATTGTGTGTTGTATTTCTTATGCATGACCCAACACTACGTGAAACCGGATTATGAGTGTTTTATTTAGTTAATATTTTGCTATTAATTAATATGTGCTCTCTCTTTAATAGTGCTAATTTGAGTTATTTATGTTAGATTCTCTGCATGACTTTATTTTTTAGAAAAAACAATTAAAGAACGAATTAAAGCATATTTATCATATTTTCTGGGAGAAGTCGACGCCAACTCTAATTAAAAGACTAAGTCAGGCAAAAACTTCAATTAAATAATACAATCATCAAGATCAAAGGAGAAATTATGAGTGAACCATAATTCTTTAGGAATTAAAAGTTGTAATCAAATTCAAACATTTACGATTTTATTATTTAATTAGTTAGGATAGTTTGCTTAGGATTTTAATTATTTATTATTAGGACTTTTAGTTTACTATTAATTAGGAATTAAGTGTTTTAATGTTATTAAGAGTTAGTATTTTATTTTTATTAGTTATCTCAAAGCTATAAATACCCTATAGTGGTGAAGCCGAAAAAAAGAGATTTAGATAGTACTGATTTTGGCTTTGTTTCACTTTGAGGTTTTTATTTTTATTAAGATTTTCTTCTTCTTTATCCATTCTTCCCTTTTACACGCCAAGTATGATCTCTATCGTGCTTGGCAAAACTTTCATTTAGCCGATAGCTAAGCGATAACTCAATTCATTTTGTTAGAATTGAAAAAGGCATAACATATTTAGTTTCTTTCTTAATTTTTGACAAAAAATGAGATGCAATCGACCTTTTCTTTAAACATCTCAACACCTTCAATCCAAAGTGCATGCATTGGTTTGATCGACGTTTTGATCTATCGTTGTGGAGGAGAGTTGGCTTATAGCAAATTCAGTTCCCTAAGAACAAACATAGCGGCGATCCACTAAGGGAAATCAAGATCGGATTCTATTCTCATTGAGACACCATAACCTGAGCACGAGCTTTTCCAGAACTCAAATTGCATTGGCATTAACACTGATAGTCGTTGTTAATCCAAAAAAGAGCTAATTTCCAAGTATTGACTTTGAGAAATTAGTTCATTAGAGAGAAGAGTAAGTTACAAGGGTTAGACTTTGTAGACTGTAACCGAAAAGTATCTGAAGTAAAATCTATTTTAGTAATCGAGACAAATTAAGGCGAAGCAAAGTTGGAGGCTATCTCTCATCATGATTAATTTTTCTACAATTTACTTTTCTTGTTTTTCTACTTTATTTTATTTTATTTTATTTTATTCAATTTATTTCATTATTCCAAACCCCTTTACTATTTTTATTTCTTCCTGATCAAGATTAAATCAATTCAAATTTTGAAATTTTTGAATCCTTGTGGATCAACCTTTTCTTTCTTATACTGTGTTTATAGCTTATTTATCTAAGAAAAAGGACTTATTTATTTAACAATTACGATGCTTGTCAAATTAGCATCGGTGCCCGAGATCA